TAAAGTTAAATAAAAAGGCTATCAAGCAACCATTTTCGTTCTGTACATCGAAACCAGATAAATTTTCGTGGACCCCCATTTACAACTCATCGAACCCCGTCGAGTCTTCCGTGGACCCCTGAGGCTCCACCTGGATCACTTTGGGAATCACTGATCTACAACATTGGTATGATGCGTATGCCAATAAAAGGTATTATAAGGAAGCTCAAGGGCACATAAGTGCGTTTTCTGTTAAAGGAGGGCCAATAATCCTCGCTGTCCCACAGGATGAAAAGTTTTCCGGTACATTGGCTAAATGAGTCGTGAGATCTCTTGAATATCTTTCAATTGAAGCAATTGATATACCTACGGTGATCTTTCCTTGTTAATTCGCTACTGATTTCTAGGTAGATGCAGGATCGCATGATCGTGTATGAGGGCGGTAGACAAACTTAACCCCATCCTTCATTTAGACATCTGAAAACTAAATTCGTATAACTTAAACATAGGCCCAAAGCGGGTTTCTATACATTTCGGCTGCAGCGCCATCCATTGGGTCATTTTCTGCAAAACCATTGGTTATCATAAAATGAATACGTGGTATGAATTTCAACCTGCACGCCATCGGCACTAATCGGGTAAATTTTTATCAAAAGGACCATATATGTAAGACAACCTCCGACAATCTGACAGAACTCTAGTCAGTGGTTTTTGAACAACGAAAACGGCTATCATTTTATGCAAATAGGTATGTAGATAGGACAGTCTATAACGAAACTGGAAAAATCAAAGCTCCATTCTATGTGCAAAATTTAAAAAAAAATTCTTCAAAAATTTTCACATAAGTTTTACCTTTTACAACAAATTAAAAAACAATGTTACGATAGTTCAATGGGATTTAAAAAAAGGAGAAAATGGTTCCCAGTCGAATGATACTTGCGCGTTTACGTGAATATATATCGAATCAGCCTTTCCAATAATAATCACTTTTCGCCATAAGTATTGTTAGCAAAGCTGTGTCAAATTTCAGAAAGTTAACGCGAGCGGTTCCAGAGATAAATGAAATGAGAAGCATGGGGGTGCCACGCCCCCTCCTCCATCACTTACCAATTTTTTTTATTTATTTATTTATTTCTTTCAGTCTACAGATAAATCTTACAGACTATATTAAAAGTGTTTTAGCATGTTTAATTAAAAATTCCATATAATTGTTGCTTAAAATTGTATATACTGAGACTAAAGTCTAGGTTAGGATAATTGTTGCAAAATCGAATGCATCTCACCATTGGTTCGTTAAACGCATAGTTAGTTCTGTGCACTTGATCAACAAATAAACGAACCTGCCTTAGATCATAGTGATTCGTTTGATGTCTAATTACACTCAATAGTTCACTGCAATTTATATTGGCATTTAAAAGATTATACACGAATAAGACCGAAAAGTAGATTCGTCTATCTTCAAGGCTTTGCAGTCCAACCAATTTGCGTCTGCCTATATAACTAGGGAGACCATTAGGCCAGCGCAGCTTATTCAATGCATATTTTGTAAAGACTTTTTGGACTCTTTCGATTTTATTTACATGGCAGTGGTAGGATGGGTTCCATATTAATGAACAATAATCTAGGTGGCTCCGAACTAAAGAAATGTAGAGTGCTTTCAAGGTCAATGGATCAGAAAAGTCTTGAGTATTACGACGCAAAAATCCAATCATAGAAAAAGCTTTGGAGACCATATAATCAATATGCTTAGAAAACGACAGTCCTGAATCGAAGATTATGCCCAAGTCTTTAATATCTTCTTTACGACTAAATTTTATATTAAGTACGATATTGATAACACATATAGCTGTGTCGAATTTCAGGATGTTGGCGTAAGCGGTTGCAGAGATAAGCTATATCAGAATTTCAGTTTGTATGCATCCACAGTTTAAACTTTGAGAGAAAATTTCATTTGGCACACAAGTCTATTTCAGGTGTAGTTTTTCTTATGCTTGAAATACAATACCGGCGAACGGCAAACTTCGCCGAATTGGGCGATGCTGTCGTTCACCGTTCGCCCAACTATTTCGCCTACTTAAACAGAATTAGAGCGGTAGCGAAAACAGCTGATCCCATTTGGTCGCCTTTATAATTTGGGTGACCATATTTAGAAAAAACTAAACCATATTTAGAAATGAGGAAATGATAACAAATATAAATGTAAAACAAAGAAAGATTATTATAAATAATTTGTTTCAAGCCAGATTTAACGAATCCACAACTATATTTTTCAAACAACAGAAAAAAAATCGTGTTTAGGTTGTTTTCTTTTTAAACTTTGAAAGCACAAAACAAATACGGCCACCTTTGGCACGCACAGCTGTCATCGCCCAGCAGAGCGATAGAAATAAATCTATCGCCATGAAACGCCGCCAAGCGAACTTCGCATTTCGCTTTGGGGTGTTCTAATAGAGATAAAACCACACAACTAATAGAAATAAGAGCGAAAAGAGATTTATAATCTCAGTGTCGATATAGGTCGAGCAGCTACCGCGGCAAGGGCGCGCGAGCAACTAATCCAGCAGTGGCAACGAAATTGGAACGCGAGCAAGGTCGATGGACGCACACACTAATAGCCGACCTTCAAATATTTATTTTATTTATATATTTAGTTATTATTATTAAATAAGTGTTTATAAATTTAACATACATACATTTGCATTACAAAGAAGAATATACATAACTTTACATTGTTTAAAATGTCTACATTCTGTAGTTTAAGTTAACTAGAGGCGAATGCAGACTGTCTACTACTAAAGCTTAATTTGTGGGGAGTCTAACTTAATTATTACAGTAAGTATTGTTTCAATTTAAGTATAATAAGAATATTTTTAACAGGATAAGTATGATTATTCAGCAATACATAAGAGTGCGCCAAGTTCAATGTAGTTGAAATTTAAAAGCCATGACTTTATATTTTTCAGAAATATATTCTTGTTTCGAATATTCCTGAAATTGTTTGGTAAGCAGTTATATAGCTTCGGAGCAACCGAGGTATAAAAATATAAGAAATGTGTTAGGTTATGCGGTGGAACCCAGGACAAATTAAAATTGTTAGCTCTCAAATTATAGTTTACAGAGTTTCTGTTAAATAAATAGCCATTAGAAATGAAAAATGTTTTTAAGACCCTATAGAAATATAAATGCCGGAGCGGCAGGATGTTTAGACTTTTAAAAAGTATGAAACTACTGTCAGTTCTCTTTTTTCCACAGATGATGCGGATAATGTTCTTTTGTGCTTGGAGTAGAGAGGAAACTTTATTTTGATATGCCCCTCCCCAACGATGTATTCTATTTTGCAATTTAGAGTGGAATATTGCATGATAGATTGAGGCTAATAGCTTTTTTGAACAAAAGATTTTTAGCATATACATTTGTCTTGTGATAAGCAAAGAATAACGCTCTAAACTTCTTGTATGATCAGCCCAATTCAGCCTCCAGTCTAAATTTAAACCAAGGTATTTAAAGCTTTTAACACAGTCCACATAAAAGCAACCTTTAGAGCAAGATGAGGTGTTACTGAACATTTGAGAGGTCTTGGTATCCTTATATATGTCTTTGGATATCTTTAGTTTTTTTTTACAATCAGAGCTATGAAATTTAAGATTGTTAAGTTTAGGATCTATTCCACCAACACTGAAGTACATTATTTTAGTTTTGTCGCTGATTACCAGTTTGTGCATAGAAAACCAGTGCCTTAAAATACTCAAATCATTATTAATATATACAGCCATATCGAGCATTGAATCCGCTGCAAAGGTGCAAGCCATATCGTCGGCAAATGCCACGGTTCTACTTCTAAATTTTTGTTGAAAAAGAGAGTTTATGTAGATTAAATAGAGAACGGGGCCTACGACAGAGCCTTGCGGCACACCCGAGTCTATTGTAACAACGGAACTAAAGTTATTGTTTGTTTTTACCCTTTGCTATCTCTTACTTAAGTAAGAAGCAAACCAATTATATACCGACCCCCTGAAACCGCATTTGTGTAACTTATCTAAAAGTATTTCATGACTTACAGTATCAAATTCTTTTTTGATATCTACAAAAAGAGCTGCAGATAGTTTCCTATTATTTAGGTCCTCGTAGACATGTTTACAAAATGAAGTGAGAGCAACCTCTATGCTCCGACCAGACCTAAAGCCGAAATGACATTTGTTGAGAAGCTTTATATGATTTAAGAAATTTACCACTCGCACTTTGACAACTTTTTCGTATACTTTAAAGAATGCAGGTAAGATAGAGATTGGTCTATAATTGCTGAGTTCTCTTTTATCTCGGTTTTTAAATATGGGGATGACTTCACACACAATCAACGCTGTTATTTACAGTTGACATAGAACGTCAACAATACTACGCACAATTTTTTTTAAGAAAAATATATGAAAAATTATCCCCAGTGCAAGCTTTGGAATTTTTTAGTGACATTACAGTTCGGTATATTTCGGAGGGACCGACTGGTTCATAATAAATGCTTGAGATTTGTGCCTGTTCCCTAGATAAACATTGACAAGGTGTTTCAGTAGTAGGTGGAACCATATTTTTTATAACATTATGAAAGTAATGATTAAAGGCGTTAGCTTTATCAACATCACTTTTCATAGTATTTCCGTTTATAGTAAAGTCAGGAAGGACCTCATTCTTTGTATCCCTGTTTAGTAATTCGTTAACAATTTTCCATTCTTTCTTAGCATCGCCTTTTTTTCGTTGAATTCATTTTTATAGTAATTATTTTTTGAGTTTTCCGTTTCTCTTTTAACTACTGTACATAACTTCTTAAATTTCGATTTAAATTTCTTACTGTCCGGATTCTTTTTAATCTTTTTACGAAGCTTATTTTTCTGACGTACTTTTTTCTACAAGTCAAAAGTCATCCAAGGTTTTAACATTTTATCTTTTGAATCTAATTTGGTAAAAAGTTTGGAACACATTCTAGTGTGCAGGGCTAATGTTTCGGCAGAAATGTCATATGCTTTTGAAGGATCAGTAGTGCGTTTCTGTAACCTTGCGATACACCCAATATCGTAAAATATAACGCTTTTTCACTTTTATCGCAAGCGAGTGTTTCTGTAACTGTGGTGAGAAAAATATTGCGATAAATGATGCGATAAATATATCACTGGCTGTAAGTCAAGTGAAGTTTGGTTTTCGAAGCGAAAAGCGTCCAATATGAGCGAGGTCTGTATGATTTTAACTGATATTTTTATTAATTTCAAGCAAAAAAATTTTATTTTTTACAGAAAAAAGTACGGACGGGAAAAATAACAAAACAACAAAAATCCAAACTGTTGGAACTAATGAGGGCTAACACCCGTGTAGCCAGTGGCCAATTTGTGGGCGTCAGTGGCGCAAAAAATTCCCAACAAGTGTGGGACACGGTGAGGGGGGAGCTAAATGCATGCGGGGGTGCATGCAAGACCGCTGAACAGTGGAAGAAGGTATGAACTGCAAAATATTTATTGGTTTAATGCCAAAGTATATTTTTTAATTATAAATGGTGAAGTGTTGGTCGGACTGGAAGGTTGCAGTGAAGAAGCAACAAAGTGCCTACAACAGATTCAAAAATTTGACCGGCAACCGTCCTGCCAGTGAAGGACCGAAACCATGTGAAGGTTTGGATGCGGAGGTATTGGAGTTATTTCCAGCAGCAGTCCTTGATGGAGATGGTAAAACAATTGAAGCCGGAGTCCATGAGGTATACTATTTTTTTTTAATTTGTGCATGCATAAATATATTTGAAATACTTTAAATTTTTTGTATTTAAGGAGAACGTGGATGAGACACTCGAAGACGAGTACTTGGCTGAATATCTCATCGAAGACGAAATGCCAAGTACGTCTAAGGCCGCTTCTGCTGAGAAGAAGTTCAATA